CTCCAGTGGAGAATCATCTGCCTTTAGAAACAGACAGATGTATTTAAACAGGTAAATGTGAGCATCCAGAGAAATACTTCGGGCTAAATACTCCTGTGGTCCCACTCATGAAAGCCTCTCTGGTAGTAACTAACAATTATATACCTACAGACAGCATCTGAATATGCACTTAAAATAGAATAATGTCACCTCCAGAGGCAGACACTCATAGGAGAGCACTCGGGTGCCTAACACTCATTTAAACTTTGCTTTGGATGTCTCCACATCCTGCTGTCTCAGGATGCAGCAGAACTGGTTTCCAGCTTTGACATCCAAGCCACCTTTTCTGCCTGGCTTTTTCTATCTGACTTTCGTCTTTTGTGGAGTTTTTTTGTGGCTGCAGAGAGAAAACTCATGGCTGGTGATGACAAAGTTCAGAACAGGTAGCAGCAGTGATCTGTGCCAGATACGGGCATTTTTCAGCTTGTGCTGAATAAATAAATACAGGTGTCACTGAGCTGCGTCTGAGAATTAATGAGATTTTCCTGGCCATAAAAGCAGAGTAGCTCAGGAGTTCTGCTGTGCAGGAAAGTCTTCCTGAGGGCATGGACCAGCAAAGCTGCTCCTCTGCTGTCTCCACTGCTCTGGCATGGCTCACACAAGCTGCTGTGCTGACAGAGCAGCCCACAGGAGCGGGGCAGAGCAAACCCCACAGCTGATGGACTTGTCCTCTTTTGTTTCTTGTTTGGCTCTCCAGCATGCCTCACCTTGGCCTCAGAGATAAGCCTTGTATTTGGGTGGGAGCCTGAGAAGCTACCATGTCAGGGATGTCAGCTGGAGTTAAATTTGCCACTGTTCTATTCAGTGACTTTGTGCAGCTCCAGGACTGGTTACTGGTGTGTCCCAAACAAAAAGGCAGTGTGACACTGCAGCCTGCTTACTGATTCCTTGGACATTTTGTGGTTGCTCAGCTTGTGCCTGTCACCTCTCCTGATTCTGTTTTCAGTTCTTCCTGCCTTCATTCTTTCTGCTTTGGGCACTTCCTTGCCCAAAGTGGGTAAATAAGCCTCTGTTGACAGTGTCCTTTGTCTGAGAAGTGTGACCATGAGGGCCAGTGCCAGTTTAAAGGCAAGCAGTGTCTCTTCTCGCCTGCATTAGATTTACACTTGTGCTAATGATCTAATGATGTCTTTTGGGACTCTGGTTTCCCTGTTTGACTGGGGACCTTTTCCTTGTTCTTCTCTTTCTTTCCAGAAGCATCCTTTAGATTAGGTAACTGCACCCTGTCTCTGCCATAATATAAAAGCTCTGTAATTGCAGAGGTTAAGATCACTTTTGAGCAAGTTTTTGGTACTTTCAATTCCTTTGGGTGATGTGCTAGAAAACAGAAAATATGTGCTGAAACCAAATTTGCTACAAACATCCGTGGGGATAAAACATATTTGTGGGTTGGTGGAGATGTGTCTGAGTATGGAAAACTGCTGCTTTGGATTTCTTGATTTGAGGAATTTAATCTTTAGTTTATCAATACATTCTGACATGTACAGTAATGCTTAGCATGTTCTTATGGAATGAACCGGGTAAGTACAGTCCTCCAGCATCTCAGGACTGTCATTAATTTTTTGTGAATTTCTTCTGGAAAACATTTGCTCCCCGTTTTCCGTTGCCAGGGACAGTTGCGTTGCGCTCCCGTGTCCGGCTCACCCCCTCATCCAGCTGTTGCCATCTGGTGGCCGTGGAGCCGAGCTTCCAGCGGGGAGCGCGTGCCACGGCCGTAACCAGGGCAATCTGGGAACAAACGCACGGCAACTCACAAATACTTGCCTACCATCTGCCTTATTCAGCGCTGCCATAATCTGCTGTCACCAACAATGCCATTTTCCTGATACAAAAATGCATTTTTAAAGGTGTATACCGTATTTGAAAACAGAAGTTAAACTGCTGGACAGTGCTCTTATTTTCAAGCTTTCATTCCTTCTATTTCCCTGATGTACTCTCTATCTAACCTGTTCTTTTCATTAGTTTTGCTTCTGCTTCTCAGCACCTCCACCCTCCCACAGGCCCTGTTGTCCGTGTGTCTGCTGGATCCTCTGGCACCTGCTCTCTTCCATCGGGCATTGCCTCTCTGCACGCAATTCTGTGACAAAAATTTCAGTTAACATCTTGCATTCCTCACTCTGCCAAAAGCATTAGGTATTGTGCTCACCTTGCCCGTGTCTATACAGTACCACTCTGCCAAAGGGCCTTTCCTGCAGGAGTATTGCTTCACGGCCGACTTCCCGCGGGCAGGAGCCCTTGCAGCGCTCGTTCCTTGTGCATGGATGGAAGGAGCAGTGCCCTACATTCAGCAAGCAGTGAGTTTGCTACTTTCCAATCGATCTGAATGAGGCTGGTGTGCCATTACTATGGGGGATAGTGGGTTTGTGTGAAGGATGGGAAGGGGGCTCATAAAAGCAAGCTGAAAAGGTTGGAGTCAAGGTAGATGTAAAAAGGGGTTTTTGTGTGGGAATGAAACATTTGTCAAAAAATTCGCTGAATACCCTGAAGGAAAAACAAAAAAATACCCATCCTAGCAATTGATCAAATTCAGGCATTCAGTGTAGCTCAGCCCCTTCCCTTGCTTTTTCACCTCGGACATGGTGGGTCACATTCCCCAGCTGAACAACAAGCAGCATTCACTTCTCTGTCCATATTTAACTGCAGTAGCTCAGGTTGCCTTGGGTTTTTTGCGAGGTAAAAGGCTTTGTGCCTCTGCCAGGGAACATTTCTCGCAGCCAGGCTGTTGCTCCCCACAGGCCTTCTCCAAATACCTGCTCCTTCCTCTTCCAACGCGAGCACTGACTTCCAGCCGGGGGGAGGCTGGCTCCAAGGAATAACCCCTGGCTGGGGCTGCAGACTTGCTGGGGCCCCCACACCCTGCACCCTGCTGGCTCCAAGGGACAGACCTTGTCAGGAGGGACAGACACCTCTGTTAGCCCAGAGCTGCCATGTGCCAGACTGTGGTAACACTCTCCTCCATCCATCCCGGAGCCAACGTGGCAGCCCTGCCTGGGGTGGGCAGGAATGCTTTGGGATCCTGAGAGGATCCGGAGGGCCCTGGTCAGCATTCCCACAATGCCTCCATGCAATTGTATCTCCACTGCAGCTGCCTGCCTGGGATAAAGGCTGGGAGCAGTCAGACGCGGGTTTCAAATAAGATCTCTGCAACAATGGGAGCTGCCGGCCAGGAAGGAGGCCGGAGTTATGTAGATGGAGAGCTTTTACTGGAGGATAAATGTAAACGCAGAGACTGGATGCTTAGTGGAGGGGGCTGGGTGAGGGAAAGTGATTAAAAAATAATTAAAATAATAATAAAGGCATCCAGCATGAAACACCAAGCCAGCTGGCAGACAGCACAAAGGATATCCAGCAGAAATAGAAAATACCTCTGGTGTCACCCAGAGGCAAAGCTAAGGAAGGGTTTTGTGGGGAATGTTTTCTGGAAAAGGGAATTTGTGTAAGAATGGTTGTGGCAGGGCACCCAGTGCCATGTCCTATCTCCACATGGCTGTTTCCTGAGAAAAATGCACGAACACCACTAGCGTTAGGCAATCTATCCCCAGGACAGCACCACAGAGTCCTGAGGCTTGTGACTGGGTCTTCAGTGACAGACTTCTTAGGGGGAGTGCATGTGTGTACATTCAATAATACTAAATTATTTAGCAGACTGTTTTTTCTGAACAGAGACAGACCTCGGCAAAGAGACACTCCTGTGGCACCCAACTCCACTGCAGACACACTCTGTGAAGAACTGTCTTGGTTAAACTGGACAACTCTAATTTTACCTCAATGCCCTCTACTTTTTTGCATGGGGACAGCAAGTGAATCCAAATCTGCCTTCTCCATACCATTTCGGATTTTACAGACCCTACCAAAGCTCTCTCTCTTGCTTTCAGACTGACAGTTCATAGTCTTTATCTGTTCAGGTACAGAAGCCAATTTGCACTGTGGATGTCGTTGTCCCTTTCTCCTGGGCCTCTTCCAAGTCTTTTGAAACCAGATGACCTGAACTGCAAAGAACATTCACAGATTTATAGCGGCATCTTTCCTTTTTGCTTCATCTCCTGTCCTAGAAACTGATGGACTTGCTTTTCTTATGCTGCTGAACACTTCACAGGACTATCTCTCTCAATGTTGTGTACCTGAGTGATACTGTTGAGCTCAGAGTAGATAATCGTGTATATACTGGGTAAATAGGTATGTGTGAGTGTGTATATACATATATATTTTTAAAATCCTCCACTGTTTCTTGTTTTCTTTGCTAGTCCAAAGGACTGAGTATTATTACCAAACACATCACTTTCCTCTCCTTTCCAGGTGATTTATGGCAATAAAGAGCAAGCGTTTTCATGCTCTACAGAAATCCACTGGATCTGCCCTGCTGTAGAAACAAATCAGTCATGTCAGTCCACTAAGTATAGAGGTGGCACCAGGAGAGTGGGGTGTCCTCTCTTAGTTAATAGCTTCCAAGGTGGGGATTCTACCAGGAAGTCCTGCTAGACTCAAGGAGATAGATCTCTCTTGAGAATATTTGTTTACTTCAAAGCTTTCCCATCCCTCTGTGAAGCCAAGGGAGCAGCCTCCTCCCAGCATGCTGTCTGTACACCAGTGGGGGCATATCAGAAATAAGTGACTGCTCTGTTTTGTTTCAGAGAAACAAAACCTTAAACCTGTCAAGTTGCTCTGTTCACAAGAGGTTTCTGAGATCTCACCAAGATGTTCAGTTACTTACAGATAATTCTTTCTTAGTTTATTTGGGTGTGTATTTGTTTAGTAAGTCACAGATCACACTGACACTTGGAAAAAAAATGACCTTTTGTAAACTGCAGAAGATACTTGGTGGGTGAAACACACTGTGCTCCCGTTTCCAGCCCGGTGGTGCAGTGGGCCTCAGCTGTCATTCCCAGAACAGGTGCTGTAAACCAATACCCTGGTGGGTATATTTTGGCAGCACCCTGGTGAGGCAGCACAGCCCCCTCTGAGGAGACCTCAGAGGTGCTTTGTGCGTGTCTCCATCTGTCTGACTGCGGCAAGAGGATGATGAAGGTCCATTGTATACTCCTCCTCCTCATCTCCACAGGTAAGGTGTTCCAGCCATTGCCTTGAAGGGGGGTTGTCCCCTTCCAGAGCATGTGGGACCAGGGCTTTGCATATACATCAGCAGGAGCAAGCTTGTGTTCCAGGAGCGCCTGTCCTACTGGTAAGGTTTTATGAGCACACCTCATCATTTAAAAGAAAGCTTTGGAGTGCATTAATAGCAGCTCAGATAATTGTAATTTCAGGCACCAGATATTTTGAGCGGAGAAGTTTGTGTTTAATTGTTTTGCTCCCTGCAATCCTTTTTTCATGCTCCTGTTTGCCTTAGTGCTACATGTATTTCAAAATATGTGAAAGGATCTAGTAAGCGTGACTTGGAATGTGAAAAATCATTACAAGAAGTTTCATTAAGTTGTGGGGTGACTGACAAGGAGGTAGAATTTATTGGCAGCTGCATGTGTTGTACTGAGCTAATTCTTTTTAAACTGTCCCTTAAAAGAATAAATATTTTGTGATCATAAAAGCTTTTCAGAAAATTCAGGCAGTATATTAAATTCCTACCAAGCTACACCAGAAGGGAGCAAATGTGAAAGAATTTTAATTGCGTTAATAAAGCATAGAACTTCAATTATGTGATGCTGTAATCATAACTTAAAAATTGAAAGATGCCTCCTGCCTACCCCCACTCAGCCTCCTGGCAGAGGAAGCAAACAGTGTCTGTCTGCAACAGACAGCTTTTCTGATTGGCATCCAAGCATTTTCATATAATCTCATGGCAGGACAAGGCCAAGGCAGAATCCTTGGCAATCTCAGCTCAGCTGTGTAGAAGAAGTTGATGAAAAGTCAGTTAGGAAACCAGCAGAAATCCTAGCTTAGGCTGGAATCTTGTTGACTTCTGTGGCCCAGGATTCAACAGAGAGGAGGAGACAAGGGTGCAATCTGCCAAAAATGCTTGCAGTGAGGCTCAACTGTTCTGTTCCCTCTCACTACCTTTAAGAGGGGAGACATACAAAAACATCCCCAAGCACCCCTCCCATTTGCTTTCCTCCCCTGCAACAGTGAAGCAGCTACAATCGGAGGTCCTCGTGTGTCTGCTTCCTCTGCCACAGGCTCTCTGGAAGCAGGGCCCATCTGTTTCCCAGTGCCCTTGCTTCTTGGCAGTGCAGTGCCATGCACAGGCTCCACTGGAAGAAGGTTGCTCCCTGCCATTTGCACTTGTGACATTTTTCTTCCAAGGCTCTTTGGCACAGCATGGCCAAGTCATGCTGGGCAGCCTGTGGGCAGAGCTGTCCATGGATCTACCCCACACAGTGAGTGGTTTCCTTCTCTCACCACTGCACAACCCGATCAACTCCCTTTGTAGAGAGGAGGTCTTGTTCCTCCTAGATCACAGATGCAAGGAGTGGGGGTGATGATGCCTTCTCCATGACTAGTGTGCTTGGCCCTCATCTTTAATGTCAGTGTCACAGGAAGATCTGCAGAGTTGAAGGTGGAAAAGAAAACGTTAGAAATCCCTGAGACCTGACATTTTCTGTGTTTAGCTGCCCATAAATACTGCATGTTAGCACAGTTTCAGGCTGGAAGACTCCTAATGATGTTCATGATCCTGCCTATTTGCATTTGTTCATCTCCTGGTTGGAGGACATTGTCACAGGGAGGACTTGGTGCTATCCCCCCACCAGCAGCTTGCCTGGCAGCATTTCCTCCATGCCAGCCCCAGACTGATGGTGCTGTAACCTGTTCCCTGCCCTTTCTGACTGTTGTTGCCCTTTCTGACTGTTCTGCAGCTGGGCTGGCCCTGGGCTATGAGGACGAGACTCGCCTGGTGGAGCACTTGTTCAGTAACTACAACAAGGTGGTGCGGCCCGTGGAGGACCATCGGGACGCCGTCGTTGTCACCGTGGGGCTGCAGCTCATCCAGCTCATTAGCGTGGTACGGTATGGACACGGGTGGCATTGAGCCTCTGGCTCATGTGATAGTGCCAAATGGTGGTGTTTTTCTAAGGAAACAATTTTTATCCTTTAATCCTGATGCTTGCTGATACTGCCTTCTTTTTTTTTTTTTCTTTCCTTTTTTTTTTAAGGATGAAGTAAATCAGATTGTGACAACCAATGTACGCCTGAAACAGGTAACTCTAAATATTCTTAACCATTTCATCTAATTCAAATAAATGCACTCAACACAGTCAGGAATTAACTACACCCTCATACCTTCAGGAGCAACTTGGAGAGGTGGGTCAGATAGCAGAGCATTTCTTCTTACTAAGATTTAAAGAATAAATTGCTCTAGATGCTAAGAGTTTTAAGAAAAGCATTTGGGGTTGTATTTCGAATGGTAGGCTTCTGATATCTTTGTATTATTTTCTTTTGGGGTTTTTTCAATAAGCTTCTTAAATCAAAATATAAGTTAATGTATAAAATGAGCTGGGGGTCCCATTCCCATATGTTTATGCTTACCTGCATGTCCCAAAGCAAGGGAGGAGCTCTTTCTGGGAAGTATTCTAACCTCAGTGCTGTGAGAGGCTCTCAGGGGCTGAAATCTTCCCTCTTTAGCAATGGACAGACGTCAACCTCAGATGGAATCCAGATGACTACGGCGGCGTAAAAAAAATCCGCATCCCCTCAGATGATATCTGGCGGCCAGACCTTGTTCTTTACAACAAGTAAGGGGTGCCAGCTGCCGAGGGAGGCAGGGAGGGAGGGAGGGGAGAGGAGCTCTGCCTTGCGGCACCACTCTGGTGGGACAGTTTTCCCATGACAGCTGTTCCAGTGGGTAAAATTCCTCAGGGTAAGCTTCTCCAGGAGCAGGCACTGGGGCATCATTTGACCTGCAGCCAGAGCAATCCTTTTGTGACTCTGTTGATTGTGCTGCCCACATTGCTTTTAATGTCCTTGTTCCTTCTGCAGCGCAGACGGTGATTTTGCCATTGTAAAATACACCAAAGTCCTTCTGGAGCACACAGGGCGTATCACCTGGACACCACCAGCTATTTTTAAGAGTTACTGTGAAATTATAGTCACGCACTTCCCATTCGACCAGCAGAACTGCAGCATGAAGTTGGGAACTTGGACATATGATGGCACAGTGGTTGTTATTAACCCGGTAAGCAAGGAGTTTGTCATTGGGAAAAGCAGCAAAGACCTGTACGTGTTTTTAAGAGAAATATCAGATTTAGAATGGAATATGACCTAGTTTTGACTGGAAAAACAAGCAGACCCTACCAGTAAAATAAAAAATTATCTTTTTTAGATCTAGCACAAGATTTCCTGGTTTGGCTCCTAAATTCTGCTTGCATATTATCCCCATGCCTTAACAGTCTCCTGTCTGTCCTCTGGCAGCTTTGCACCACTTTTTATGGTGCTACCTGTTCTGCTTCTGTTTGTTTTCTCAGGTTTAGGGTTTTTTTGAGGGGGTACATTTTCTCTGCTCATGACTTTCCATTGCCTAAGACTCCTTCCCTGTCCCCTCAGGTATGCCCATTTGTAATATTTTTTCAGTCTACTATCTCTGACTGTTTCTGTAAAATATTCAGTTGAATACTGTGTAGAGGCTGATATTCTAAGGAAAAATAACATAGACGAGAGCTGTTTACTCACAAAAAACCCCTACAAAGTGCATGAGTTATTTGGAATCCTGTTCCTGAGCCCGACCTGCTAAGTTTTTATTTGGTTCAGAATACCTGGTATTAAGAATTTGTTGGGATGTTTTGCTGCCAGGAGAGTGATCGTCCAGACCTGAGTAACTTCATGGAGAGTGGGGAGTGGGTGATGAAGGATTACCGTGGCTGGAAGCACTGGGTTTACTACGCTTGCTGCCCTGACACCCCTTACCTGGACATCACCTACCACTTCCTCATGCAACGCCTGCCTCTCTACTTCATTGTGAACGTCATCATCCCCTGCCTGCTCTTCTCCTTTTTAACAGGGTTAGTTTTTTACCTACCCACAGATTCAGGTATGTGAATTTATTCATTCTACTTCCATAGAAATTGCTCTTCTAAGAAGTTCCAGAGAAATTAGCAGTATTTGAATTTATCAGCCAACTTGAAGGCCAGTGCATACTAAAACTGGACATTTCCACTGAAAGTAACGGCTTTAAATATTCTGCAAAGAGAGGATAAATGCTGAAAACTGAAACTGTTGATATAAATAAATTGGGGTGCTTTTCCACAGAAGTTGCTGACTGTCTATCCAGTTAACTTCTGCAAACTAAAGATTTAGCTGCATAATTTTTATGTTTTGCCATAGGTAGTCAGTGTATTAGTTTGTCCTGCAGTAAAATGAGCATACAGGGGTGACAGAGGCCCTTCTGCATTGTGTTAGAGCAGAGAGCTCATTACCTGCTCACACACACATCACCTTGTGTGACACAAGAGAAATCCTGACTTGTTCTGGCTTTCTTTATCTCTGCTGAGCCACTCATGCTCCCTGCAACCATTTCCTCTGCTTCATTCTTTTTGCCTTTTGTCAGGTTTTCATACTGCTTAATTGCAGTGTGAGCCCCTTCTTATTGATGCATTTTTTTGAGTGGAAAGCTTTCGGGATTAAAAAAAAGTGTGAATAATGTTTTGTAATTCATTTTTGACACCTTCCACGTGCGAGGAGATCTTGCGTAGCAACTGACCCAATGTCAGATGTGATTTTAGTCTGTTCTCTCAGCCCAGAGACAGAGAGTAAGGAAAGCAAACCCTCAGGAGGCTGTGGAGCAAGCACTGAGGAGATGCATATGCTGCACTGTTCAAAATGCAGAGCCCACAAAATGCTCCTAGCAAGTAAAAATATTCAGCACCCACACCTCAGCCAAGTCATTCCTGGTAATTCCCACCTTAGTGCTGGAGCTGATGCTGTTAGGCTCTCAGGTTTGCCCAGCCTACTTGCTGCTTTGGATGATAACACAGCAAAAGCACACAGATGTTTGTGTGAACAGCTCTCACCCACATCCTGCTTCTCAAGTAAATGCTCTCTGTACTGAATGATAGGAGCAGCAATTATTTTGGGGGCCTATTTTTATGACAGGTGAGAAAATGACCCTGAGCATCTCTGTCCTGCTGTCTTTGACTGTGTTCCTGCTGGTCATCGTGGAGCTGATTCCCTCCACCTCCAGCGCAGTGCCTCTGATTGGCAAGTACATGCTGTTCACCATGGTGTTCGTCATCGCTTCGATCATCATCACCGTCATCGTCATCAACACCCACCACCGCTCCCCGAGCACGCACACCATGCCCCCCTGGGTCAGGAAGGTGAGCTCTGCGGCTTGGCACACTTGCTGGTTTCCACCAAATGCTCCATATTTTATTGGCAGGTCTTCTAATAAAAGTCAAAAAGAATTGGGGTGGTAAATGCATCATGTTAAAGAGCACAAGAGCCAGTGTTTACTACTTAGCTGTACGTAAAGTCAGCAAGATTTGCTAAAGTGCTCCTTTAAGTAACAAAATTGTCCACTGAGGTAGTCTTGCAGGGAACAGATGAGACAAAATGTGAGCAGCTAAAGGTATGGAATGGGGAAAGAAAATGTCCATCTGGACTTGAATTACATATCCTGGTCTAATTCTTCACTGACTGCAAGGCACTGCTGCCTGCCAGTGACCAGCCACCAGCCTGCATGAGTGCAGAGCACAAAGGCCACTTGGAATACCAGAGTTCAGCATCCCATTTTGCAAAAAAATGGTTTAGCAAAAGCTAAAAAAATCTTCTCTTTTCCAGTACACAGTTGCTCTGCAGCCCTTGGGAGATCCTTGCACACAAGTTTAAATGTTAATCATAAGACATAGAAAAAATTGGTTGTCTGTCATTACAAGTTCTTTGCCAGGGAGACAGTACCAAAGATCATCTGATTTATTCAGTAGTCCTTGCTGTTTTGAAGACTGCCTGGGTTCGTCCTAAACCATGACACAAAAGGAGGTTTTTCTGTGTATTTCTAATAATACTTTTAAGGTTACAGCTTATATCAGATTCCCTCTGCAGCACAAACAACCCCTGCAGAAGGGAAATTTCAACAGGAAACGCTGCATGTGCTTAACATTGCTCTGGCAGTAAGTCTCTTTCACTCCCATGGAATTTACTGTAAACCTTATATGCCTGTATAGCAAACATTCGTAATAGCAAAATCAAACCTAAGTAGCCAAAAGAGTTTCTTTGTAGTCCATTCTTCAAGTCAGATTTGTAGGCAATATGTTTCAAGTTAGATGGGATGGCTCGAGCTCTGTCAGCCCGTGCTAGCTGAGGATCTGCTCCGCGGCATCATCCCCTGCTGCTTCACGTGTGGATGCTGGTGTAGGGCAGGGGAGGTGGCTGTCAGAAAACGTGCTGCAGGCCTGCCGGGACTCCCTCTGCCCCGGGACACGAGGCTGACAAAAGCCCCAGTGTAACTAAGGCGTGGGCTGTGCCATAGCCGGAGAGGGAATCTGCAGCAGACCCAGCACGGGAAGCGATCTGGGAGGGGAGAGGCTTGTCTTTGTTCAGCACAGCTGCAGCTGTAACACAGCCCCACAGACCAGCAACTGTCATCTTCTCCCTTTGTTTTCAGATCTTTATTGACACAATCCCAAACGTCATGTTTTTCTCTACAATGAAACGACCATCAAGAGACAAACAAGACAAAAATATTTTTGCAGAAGATATTGATATTTCTGACATTTCTGGGAAGTCAGGTTCTATGCCTGTCAACTTCTACTCCCCGCTTACCAAAAATCCAGATGTGAAAAACGCTATAGAAGGAATCAAATACATTGCAGAAACTATGAAATCGGACCAAGAAGCCAGTAATGTAAGGCATTTTTTGGTGCATTATTCATTTCTAGCTTTCAGTTTGCTACATCTTACTTTTTTTGGCAAAATATCCCTGCCTTACAAAAACACTCCGAGCCCTGGTTTGGCTCCAGCAGTGGACAGTCTTCTCCCCTTAATGGAGTCAACATGGAGCAATAAATAATTGTCACAGATGTTAATTGAATATTGGATTCCCAGAATAATAGAAAAGGAAAAAGTGTCAGTGCTAAGGTTTTCTCATGTGATATGTGAAGCCATAGAGATGGAGTGTCTGTGAGTAGGAAACTGGTTTCAAAAACTGTAAGCAAGTTCCAAAACACATTTCTTCTGTCTCTCACTCGGACATCTTGCCCCTGTAGTAAGATCCTACTGCTTTTGAAAACCCAGGAAGCAAGGCAAACCCCAAAAGACTAGTAGTGTTATCTGAGAAGTGTTAAATGTAACTTACAAATTATATTTCCAATTTTGATAAGGTTTTGTTTTATTCCTGAATACAAGTAGTCCCTCAAAATGAAGTATGTTATGAGCTACTCTGATTACTGACTTTTTCCATGTTGCAAGCCAAAGGAAGGATAAAAGCATATAGAGTCACACATGGCAGTGTTCCCTAGGAAAACCTAGCTCTGCCTCCTTCTAGCACATTCAGTACAATTAACCCCTCTTTTATTTCAGCTTTCACAGGTCACACAGCTTTTGCAGGGGTAATTCAGTCCTACTATTTCACCTTCCTAGGTGGTCATAGACCACTCCTGTTGAGCTGCAGGCTAGTCTGAAGACAGGGAAGCTCTCTGAAAAAATAATTTGTCCCACTCTCTTGAAAAGGAGGTGCTTCCTTCCCACTGACAGGATTTACACCACGGTGTTTGTTCCTGTGACCAAATTCCTGGAGCATGTGAAATGGCTCTGGCTGTAGTCTCATGTTCCCCGTGACACCTTTGCCTCTCTGCAGACAAATTGTTGTCTTCAGCAGGGCTGGCGTGGCTTCAACATCTCTGGGCTTCACTTCCTCCTTGGCTTACAAGGAGGGTCTTCAGGTTACCAGCAAATGCCCCCTTCGGAAGTGGAGCCCAGCTGTTTGTGTCATCTGGGCACTGGTGAGATATCACTTCCAGGGGGTTTCAAAAGTCATATTCCCTAAATAAACTAAAGGTTGTGGCTTCTGAAGGCTATCACTTCATTGCATTTGCTTCTGAACCACCTCAAAACAGTACTCATTGTCAGTGTCCTCTAGATAAATCACAACAGCCTCTTCTACTTGTGGGAGAACCAAGGCGCAAGCAGAAGGTGCTTTAGGCCAGCACATGTCGCTCCTTAAGGTGGCATTCCAGGGTGGAAATCATGACCCCTGCTGTACTTGGTGCCTTGCACTCTGCATGCTCTTACTGTGGTTGGTTCCCATCAAAAGCATCCAATGAAAAGGTACAGAGCAAGTGGTTCATGGTGTCCCACAACTGGAAAAAAAGACTAATAGAGCTACCAAGAAGGTTTTACAAGACATTGAAGTGTATGGAAAGCAGGGATTAGAGTTAAATTAAAAGGAATTGCCTAGATATCCCATGAGAACAAAAAAGCAAAGGAAAATCAAAAGTCATTTGGGTCAAACTAAACATTTTGCTTTCAAGATTTTAAACTCTCTTTCAGAAGCAACAATTACCATAACAATTAAGATTTTCAACATTTTTTAAAAATTAAATTGTCCAGCAAATTGCCAGGGGTTCTGGTTAGGTATTTCTAGGTTGCTTAGGCTTTTTTAACCACTGACCTGCTTTTGAGAAGAAAATGATCATTTTTTGTATAGCAATAATGGCACTTAGGGAAGAGCCTTCCCCTTGTTCAAGACAGTAAATTACAAGAATGCTATAACAAACAGGCCTCTGCAGAGATTTTACCATCTCCTTTGTTTCTTTCCCAGGCTGCAGAAGAATGGAAGTTTGTTGCAATGGTGCTTGATCATCTCCTCCTTGGCATATTTATGTTAGTTTGTTTTATAGGAACATTAGCTGTATTTGCTGGTCGCCTTATTGAATTAAATCAGCAAGGATGAACGTCAGCTGGAAACTATTTGCTACCCTGAACATCTGAAAGCACCATAACCATCAGAATCGGGCCAGCCTCTGAAAGGTTCACTGACAGGAATCAGGAACCACTGGGAAAGAGCAGGGATAGTAAAACGTAAGGCCCCATATTTAGCACTTCTGAGCTGCTGCTCAGTAGCATTTAATTGCCAAAAAGAAACACTTGCATTAGTGGTAAAACTGAACAGCTGTTGGCCAGGTTTTGATCCATCTTACCCTTTATTAAATATGTTAATGTATTAATAAGATTGTCTGACTTTGTAAGCAACAGATACTATTCCAGTGAAGTAAACAGCAGTGTAATAAGCTTTAGCTGAGCTGTAAATCTGTATCCAACTTTGGCATTCAAGCTGGTTTTAATATCTGCTCTGTAGCTTTTATATTAGCAGGTCACTCCTCTGATAATACTAGATATAACCGTCAGAAATATTTCAAACTCCATGCTTAAGCACTTGATTTTGATGCAGAAATCTGAATTGTCATGCATGACTCCACCTGTAGAAGCTCTTGCTGTAGCAAAGTGGAGAGATTTACTTGGACAGGATCCATCCTGTTTCTAGAATAATCTCCATATTCAGCCTACTCTGCTCTTGGAAGGTTGGTTTCCACTCCGCATTTGGAGCGATGACTAATGCTGGGGCACCTTCGACCTTGAGGGTGTTTATTTAAACACAATCCTCTCTGTTTCGGAAAACCGTCCCCTGCCCTGCTGCACTGGACCGTGATCCCTGGAGCCAGCCCGGCCTCGCCGCTCCCTGCCGGGGCGCTGCGGGTCCCCGCCGCGCTGCCGCGTCCCGCTGACGGAGCGCTCCTCCCGGAGCAGCGCCGGGAGCAGCCCCAGCTCTGCTCAAAAGTGGAGCAGCAGCTCGCTCTGGTGGCTAAAGCCAAGCACTGCTGCCTCTGCCCAGCACCGCCGGATTTGTTTACTCCACGTTCGACGTAAGCAAGAAGCCTCTCTGCGTTCGAATAATGCCGTGTGGCAATACCGGCAGCACTGCCTCTTCTTCTCAAAAATAAATAAGGATAGGTGGAGCAACTGCGACAAGTTACTCATCTTTTCCAGCTGGTTGTCCAAGCCAAGAGGACTACTTTGCTAACAGCTGTAAACAATTTGCTGTGAGTTTAGTAAAATAATTCGTATTATGTTAAAACTTGTCATGCCTGCAGAGGACAGGCATTTGAAGCACTAAAGGGAAAATGAGCCACTTGAGCAACACTCCCAGCATTGCGTAGTGTTTGCTGGACAATGTTTTGGTGAGCTGCAGTGCTAAGCAAACAGTTTGTCTGCGGTAATAGATCACTTGTAGCAGTCTGCTCTGCTCTTACGGTTTAAAGGATGGTAATCTTTGCCTCCCTGGATGATCATTAACCCTGCAAGCGAAGGCCAAAGATGCATCGCTGGCCGCCACCTCTGCTGACAGAGGGAATGTTCACTGCAGCCGGATTTATCTCCGGTGGGAGCTCCCAGCCCCTGGGGGGAGTCAGCAGCTCCCTGCTCACGATGAGTTAAGCTGCAGTCTAATGGTGCCTGGAACTTAATTTGCGAACCTCTGATTGGCACTGAAATTGACAGAACAATCCTCTTAGAGCAGCATGTGGTTGAATCTTAGCATTAAAAATAAACATCAAGTAACAAGATTCATGGTGAGCAGCCACAGTATCTTTGTTCAGCTTCCCCAAGGCAGATCTGAGTCTTGGCCTCCAAATTCCCCCATCTGTGTGCCAGAGTCCATGTGTGCACATGTGTGCCTGCCTGCTTCTCCAGCTCTCCTTATACACAGCTAGGTACCAGTGCTTTCCTTCCACTTCCTCAGAAAAAGGTTTGAAACTATTATTCAAAAATTTTCATTTGTGATGGTTTGATCTGTTTTATAGATAGGCACAGCAAATCTTCTGCCTTTCTGTCACTTTGATGCTTGATGAACCAGTTGTGTCTCAAAAGATGCGATAGGAGGCAAAAATAAATGTGAACAGCTTCCCTTCTTAAATTGCAGATTCCGGGCATTATGCTCTGACTCTCCAGAGTTCTCCAAGCATCAAATAAGTGCACGTTTTTCTGGTTTTTCTTTTTTTTTTTTTCTTTGCTTTGAATACTTGGACTGTACCAGCCTCTATTTTCTCTTCCTCCATCACCTTTATGATACATTTTTCTTGCATGCCACTTGCATACCACTAAGATCCCCTGTTACCACTATTCATCCATTGACAGAATACTCTTACCTACCTGCAGACTACCTCTTCTCAACTGCCACTCTCCTTTCAATGTCAGCCCCTGCTAAAATAGTAGCTTTGGAGGTTGTAAATGTTCTGTCACAGCCACAGAAAATCTGCTGTACACATGTATGTATAGTCTAATGATTCCTCATTTCCAGCTCTGTAGCCCCCCCTTGCAACCTTAACACTAAATTCTCCTCTCTCCTACAAGGGTTGAATCAGCAGCCCCAGGGAGATGACCCTGGATAATACTTTGCAACCCACGCATGCATCTCTGCTGCCTCTTTGCCTTAAACAGGAATATTTCAGCCTGGAGCTTCAACTAACACATCTCGTGATAAGCAAAGCAAGAAAGGGACATCACACACTTACTGTTAAATTTCTCTAATAAGTATAAAAAATAATGACATGCAAACATCATGGTGCTGAATTAAGCAGACCTCATTTAAATGAAGGCAGACCAGGGGCATCTGGGTGGGAAGGTGTTGCTTTTATAGTGATAGCACCTGCAGCAGTTAACTGCCACCTTCTTGCTACTAAAGCTGCTTTTGTTCACTTTGAGCTTGTCGATAACATCATATTTACGTCCTTAGTAGAATAGGTTCCTGGAATATCTCCATCTTTTTTCAGTTTGATTCTCTTTCCAGTTTTCAAACCATTTGGCAGTTAACTTTCCTCTTCCCATCCGTTTAGCTGACCTTAGCTACTCTCTGCTGTGCCATGGATATGTTGCTCTCAGAGATGCAGTCACTCCCAAATCTCTTTCCTCTTTGGCACTTGTGCTCTTCAGGAGACCTGACTCTTCTGAGAGTCAGTTATTTGAATTTTCACAGTCCCTTATCTTGTACCAGCTCCAAGGGAGCAGTTTCACCTCTGCATGAGTCTGTAATCAGAACAGGCTGCTGCTCTCCATCCTCACCAGACAGCTGAGCTGAATTCGATGTCCTTATTCTGTCTCTTCAGCCAGTTGGATCTTGGCTTTGTAAAATGTAGCTGAGCTGATCAAGAGAGAGAACAGAAAAATTACACTTGCTGAACTCCAAGCACTTTACCATGAGCTTGTGTGTGCCAGGTGTGATCATTCATCTGCCACCAGTGTTTGGGTCCCACAACCTCCTTCAGTTTGAGAGTTTTTTAAAAAATCAGATTATTGTTTCAGGCAATTGCAAGACAGTTTAAGTACTCTTTTTTTTTTTTTTTTTTTTTTTTCTCCAGGATGTAAGTTGCTGCCAACCTCCTTGCTGTAGCAGTCTCCCCAGAGAAGTGTGAAAGCAGTGTGAGTTTCATCAGCCTGCTGACTCAGCAGTTCCTGTTTCCACAGCTGAGGCAAGCCACAGCGGGTAGGGACACAGGGCAACAGAGAACGTGTAGCACAGGACCCACATAAGTGCATAAACACTGGGCTGCTGCTGGAGACAGGGAGTGTGTTACCTCCCTGAAGGGTTTGTTTTCTGCTATGGGGACAGGCAAGATATCACCTTTAAAGTCACTGATAGTTCAGCACATCAGAAATGCTTTTGACTTTGGACACTTCTAGAAGATTGCTGTCCTTGGCTCCAGTCACAAGACCTCATATTTTCATATGTTTACTAGTGATAGATAAATTCTAGCACAGCTTCCAGGCCCCTGGGCATGCTGCTGGCTATAAATTACCTCTCTCCTTCTCTTCTTAAAAATTGTGAATCTGATACAAAGTCTCCCAAGCTTCTGAAGGTTGCACATATACTGACTTCTAACAAAGCTCTAGAGCACTAATCTCTTTCTGGAATTCAAATCCCAAGTACAGAAAAGGCAATCATGCACTGCTACGCAAAATATTCTCTAAAATGATCATGCTTCAGACCCCAGTAAAGTCTGAGAGTGACACAGCTATGAGAAAGAGCCAACCTGTAGGCAAGCATTTTCATGCCCACTGTGAGAGCCATGCTGAGTCCTGCTGGCTGCAGGTGGGTTATCTACAGAAAGGACAGGACAATTTCTCTTGTCACCATGCAACAGGCCAGCCTGACCAGCAGGCAGAAGTCTAAAGGAGTTTGTAGGCTACTACATCACAGTGATGATGGATCACTCAGTGGATTCCCCATAAAGGGAAAATTCTTTCCTAGCAAAAGTTGTCACCATTTCCTGTCATCCCAGCACAGGTCTCCCATTGCAGCACATCTTCCCAACTTCTAAAAGCTGAGCAGATCTGTGTCAGTCTATCTATTTATCCCATATGGAGCCTGGATTTAACACATTACATGGTATTTCCCCAGCATGTAGACAAGATGAAGCTGTTTGCCTCAATGTGACTTCTCAGCTAACCAATGACCCGAATGCAGTTTGCCATGCTGAGGAACCTCATGTGGATTTGTGACCCTCTTTAGAGAGCTTTGGGACTGTAAAGACAGTAAACACAGAGTACCTGCAGTTTTGCTATTTGTGAGCACTGAAATTTTTGCTTGCAAGCTAATCTAATTGTGTGTACAGGTCAGAAAAGGGTACACATAAAAAATTGTACCAGTTTTTGTGTTTTCTTGTAATGCTCCAAGCAAACAATGACACAGAAACAGAGACATGACCTACATAAAAGCCTGGCAAGGTTTCCAGCCTTCCACTGAAGACAGCACAGTAATACCATTGCTCTTATGACCTCATGCTCACCATAATGCTGTGCCTTCAGGCAACAGCTCATCTCCTGAGGAAAACATGAAAGTAAATTGCAGCAGGTTAACTTAGCACACAGGTTACTCAGTCTTTGACCTTGCTAGGACATGTTGCTACAAGTGAATCAAGAGCATATTTCAGTTCTCCAGGACACCTGTCCCTAACTTTTTCATTTTAGATAACAGTGTTATACAGCTGCTGGGCTGGACCATGGCAAAGCATGGAGTAAACAGAAACCATCTGAACACCTCCAAAATGTGAAATCCTACAGAGACAAAAGCATGTGAGATCAATGTTGGCTCAAATAGACATCCAGGACACAGTTCTTGCACTTCAAACCTTGCACCTATCTGCACAAGCTACTCCATTACGTATACTTGGGCATTTTTCCATCCAAAACATCAGTGTTTGACATAAAAACATTAACAGAAATTTTGTTTCTAGAAAACTTAATTCAAGCTGAGGGGGAAAAGGGAACAGAATCTATTGCTTGCCTGGCAAAGCAATCTCTGCATGAGTTAATTGAGGTACGAAACACAAATACCTTCTGGGGCATCCTGCAGAGATGGGTAATTGACCTTCCCACATTTCAGTATACTGCAAACCTTAACAGAGAAAACGCAAGCATCTCTTTCCCACTGTTTAATTACGATTCTACTGTACCGTGTGTCTCAGCCTGGTGCCTTGCTATTCCCCAGGTGCCACTACCCTTTCCCCGCTGGCTGCCATCGAGGCCATGGAGGGAGGTCGGGAGAACAAAGCGTGTTGAGCGCTCTGTGGGCAAAGGGAGCCCCGGGAGCAGGGCCGGGAGGAGCGGGGCAGTGCCGGGGGCCGGGCAGCGCGGGCGGCACGGAGAGCACAGCTGCCCCTGCCGTGAGGGCAGCCGGGGTGGCTCTGAACGGGACGCGTCCTCGGCAAGGCCACCGAAGTCACAGTCCAGGCCGTTGGCACCTGGGGGCCCGAGCCCATCTCCCTGTAAGGGGCTCTCTGTAACTCTGACTGAACTCCCACGGGGCACCGGGCACAGAAAGACTGGACATGGCCATCACCGGCACCCCGCGCCACGCGGGAAGGACCATCCCACGGGGAGCCCGCTCCGCCGGCCGGGCCGAGGGGCACAGCGGGGGCGGCCAGGCCGGGCCGCGCTCTGCGGGGCCGGGGCATGTGCCCCCGCGGGACGAGCGCCCTGCGGGTACAAGGGTCGGGAGCCGAGTCTCGCCTCGTGCCTGTCTGCTCTTTCTCTCTTTTCTTCCAGACTGCTCTGTCTTGGGCTGGACGCGTTCCTCCTGCCTCCCGAAGCCGTGCTGGCAGGCTGGGATCCCTCCCTGCTTCCCCTCGCATTCCCACTTCCCCCGGGTTGGGCGCGTGCCCGCGGTGGCGGCTGGCGCTGCCTGAGGGCGCAGCCCCCGGCCCCCTTGGCAGCTCGGACCGCGCTGCTGCCCGGGCTGCCAGGGAGGTGCCTGCTGGCATCCTTGTCCATCTCTGCTGCTCTACAGCCACGGCTGTGAAATCCTGGCTGGCGTGTCAGGGTGGGGAGAGCGAGGCTGTGGCTCACGCTGGAGCCGTGGCACACACAGCTGCCTGCACGTGTGGCACCCACGCTGGGCATCGCTCTTTGGTCACACACGCAGGTGTTCGTGTTGCAGCCTCCCTCAAGTGCTTTCGTCTGCAGCGGATGTTGGGGTGGACCGTGTAGTGAGGCTGTATGGTGGAGTCAACAAAGCAGGTCTCTCTGCCCTCTGAGCTGGCTCTCAGGGGCTTTTTGGAAGTAATCAACTTAGGGAACCTCAAGTGACCAGTCTTCAAGTTCGAGCTTGTTTTGCACTTTGCCTCTACTGCTCTAATGGCTGTGTTTCATCTTCTAATGAACACCTTCTTGAGTGCAGGGCTATGTGCCTTCTCAGAGTAGGTGTTCCTCAGCTACCACGTAGCCTGTTTGAGTGGCCTCTCTAAAACAAACATGCTAACAGCACTTGTCTCTGGCACCAAGGTGTGCATGTTCAGGAACCCACCCTGAGCTGCTTCTGAATTACTCCTTTACTCCTGAAGTGCCTTCTCAAGGACAGGGCTGTAATAAGCAGCTGCTCTCAGTTTTGACTTCCAGGGGATGGGCTGAATAAAAAGTTTTGCTTCTTATTCACACCCTTTTTAACTCCGTCAACCTTCCCCTCTGTTTCTTCTGTCCACTAGCTCTTCCAAGCCCAATTTCGGAGGATGATGCAGAGACCCAGGAGGCCACATAAAAAAGAAAAGGTCCTCTCAGAGCCTCAGCTTGGGAGCCTTGCCTTCAGTGAAGGCGGGAGGCATGGCAGTGCACTCTTTCAAGCGCTGTAAAGCACGAGGCTAGCTGAGCTGGCATGTACTTTCCCCTCTGCTGTGAGGGGAAGGAGCAGATGAGGAGGAAATACAGCTGTTCCAGAGCACTTCTGCCCTCTGTACAGCCACAGCATGTGAGGGGGGAGGACCGACGCAGAGAGAGATTCAGGAAGAGAGTATGGGAGGTTGGGGAGGGGTGAGGGGAGGAGAGGAAAGCTACAAATGGAGAAGAAAAGCTCTTTATGTATGCACGAATGTTACTTAAAGATCTGTTTAGCTAGAGCGAGAGCAAATAGCCTGAAATTATGAGATGGTATCTCTTGAGTCCCTGTTATTGGTCCTGCAGAAAGTGCTGCTTTTCATTCCTCAAGTATTATGTGTGTCTTTCTGCCTCACTCTTCTAGGCTCTTCAGCATCCTCTGACCTCAAGCTGAGCAGGATGTTGCCCTTAGCTTCTGCCTGTCAAACGTGTAGTTCTCCATGTTGTACATGAAATGATTATTCCCATAGTTGGTTAAGGCAAGTTTCTGAGGAATGTGAAGCAAGAGGCACGCCAGTTCCCGTGGCTGGCCTTGAGTGGAGTGCAGGCATTTTGGGACAGGGGCTGTGCCTGTAGGCTGTGGTTACTCTGCGTTGTTCTTGGCAGCTTAGGGATTCCTGCCCCTGCTCCTGTCCCTCTCACCCTTCTCATGTCATATTGCTGCTCACCTGTTCCTCTGCCTGTGCTGCAGCTGCTTCAGCCTCTCCCAGTTATCTGTGGGGTTGTGCTGAATAGATCAGAAATCTGAGTAAAGAGGAGAAGAGAGAGCTGCTACACCCTTAGAGAATTTCCCTCTGAGCCCTGTGGTGACTCTCCCCTGCATCCTGCTTTGAGATCCCTCACTCCAACAACTGGGAATTTAAAGCAGTTGAAGCTCTCTAGCTATGTTCTAACTACTGCTGCTGCCTTGCTATTTCTTCTGAAATTGCACTTATAGCTTTCTCCAGGATTAGTTTACTCTCTGAATGGCATCAGGTAGTAAGGTACGGTCTTTGAGGGCTGCATGGCCACAGGACCACTAAACCTTTTTTTTTTCTTAATGGAAAACCCAGTTACCTACCCCAGCAGGGTTTCACTGCTTTTCCCTGTGTAGTACAGACAACTGAAAGTGTGCATCTAAGAAAAAGTATTGGCTGTGGAAAGAGCAATTTCCCCTCCTGTGATAACAGTATGATCTTTACATCTGATGACATCCAGACCCCAAAAAGGCCACTGAGAAGCACGAGCAATGCTAATCCCTTTGAGAAGGGAGCATGCTGTAGTATTTCTCTCTGTTGCCTACACTGCATAAAGCTCTAACAGCTATTTAGTTTTGTACCCTGCTTGTATAAACCCCCATCTGCTTTGTGGGGGGAAAAGGGTCTATGTTGGTGTCGTCTGACAATTGTGACATGACAGGAAGGCATAGCCTTCCTCTGGAGCACGTGTTGTTGATGGCGTACATGTACAATTTAGTAAAATGTCTTTATGCAGCAGCTTTGAGACATGTTCTGTGCTTTTAGCTACCTTGAATCTTCATCTGGTTAATGCACTTATGTATAGAAACCATATGAAATAATGATGCAGCAGAAGGGCAGGTTTCTTTAAAGTTTATGCTTTTGCCAAGGTAAACGTGTCTTAATTATGGCTTCTTTACAATAATGAAGTGTTATAAAAATTCAAATCTAATTAAATACTTCTGTGTTCTTTCTACTGATTTCTCTGATTCTTGACTCCAACACTTTCTCATTTTCTTCCTCTGGTGCACTCTAACGTTTGGTCTGTGGGATCTATTATAAAAAGGACTATTTACTGTCTTCTTTCAGAGTCTGTGGTGCTATCTGTGTTTGAGTAGGGGTGTGGAGACCCAGTATATGGGGAGATAATTAAATTCTGGGGTGGCAGAACAGATTTTGGTAGTACTGAAGAAGTGGATACTATAAGTAGCCACAGCTCTTCAAGGCAGCTGTCTGTCCTGTGTACAGTTAACACCTACTTGTTTAGCTCCTTACTTCAAAGAGGTATCTGAAAACCTGTTATTGAATAATAACTGCTGAACTGTTAGTTGGCAAATAGCCCAGAAAAGGCATTATTAAAAAATAAATTTAATAAAGATGTCTATAATCATGCTTTAGTAGGCTGCTTTGTTAAAAGTAATTTGTGTGCTTGTGGTGACCAGTATGATAGTGTAGTGTTCACCAGGTACACACATGCATTTGTCTAGGTGTCTGAAGAGCAGGAAGGAGAAGTAACAAACTGTTTACTATGTTAGTTCTCCGTTGTGATCCTCTTGGGGACTGTGTCACTGCTGCTGAGCTGAGAGTGAAATCTGAATGGTAAAAAGGTTATTTTTTTCAGTGGCAATAACCCTGAACATCAAGGCCCTGAAAGGTACTGGAGTTGCTCTTCATCCCTGCAGACACACAAGTCTGCAAGCGCAGCTGTCCTTGGGCCTCGTCCAACACAGTTCACAAAGATCATTCAAGAGTGTCTCTGAGGCTGGAGACGCAAGTGGCGGGGGAGCAGTTTCGTCTAAATCGGAGACATCAAAGGAGTTCAGAATAGAAAGTTTTTCCTAATTCCTGGAAGGAGATAAACGGGAAGCACAAGGAGTAGTTTGAGAGTCTGTTTTGTAACACTTAACTCAGCCATAACTTCAATAGTGTTCTTCATTTGGATCCAATTACACATAAGTATGCTTTGGAGTTAAAATGTTAAAATAGTTTTGCAATTCCTTAACTACTAATGTTGTGGAAGCAGAAGTTTCTGAGTTGTAATGTCTTCATGTGCACCCCTCATCTTTGATCTGCTCAGTGTGTGTATGTCTGTAGCTCCCACCATTTCCTCCTTGGGCTAAAGCCCATGAGAAGGGCCCTCCTGTGTGCCTGTGCATGCTTTCACGAGAGCCCTCTTTCGGTTTGCGCTAAGCTTGAGCACGTAACTCCTGCTGAAGCTACTACAGGATATTCTTTAACGGGAAGTAGTACAGATGTTAAAAGAAATGCTCTTAGCAGCTTCAGTGAGCCCACAATAGCTTCTGCATGTTTCTC